CGGCGCGGCCCCAGAGCTGCGAAAGGACAGAGGCGCACCTCCCCCGGCACGCCGCAGCCGCCTTCCGCCTCCGGGGGGATGCGGGCCGCTTCGTCCCGGCGAAGGTCCCGGGTCTGTCTCCCCCTCCTCATTCTGGGATATTTTGACATCGTCCCTGAGGCGAACCCTAAAGGGCTGGGAAGTTTTTCAGTGTCAATTTTGCACACACACCCCCCCCCGAGAATGTAAACACTGATATGCTATTTCCTAAGGGTAATTTGGGTTTGGGTTTATATTATTATTATTATTATTAGTAGTAGTAGTAGTAGTAGTAGTATAGATCTTGTTGTTGTTCCTTCTAGTGAAGTGCCATCAAGTTGGGCTCAGCCTCTGTCCGCCGTGTGGCCAAGTGACCACTTTCTGGGCTTGTCTGGCCACACTCCGTAGGTCTTCTAAGGCCATTTCAGTCATTTCCTTGACCAGCTGTCTTAGCTGTCCTCCACATACTACATTCATTATGTTGTGACCCTTATTAAAGTGCACGATTTGGTCCTATTTGAATAGTGTGGATGTCAACACCCTGATTTTTGCTCTGTAATGGCTATTTATTCGTTGGTGAAATGCAAACAAAAACAAAAAAACCCCACCTAGTCTAATATAATTGCTGGCTTAATCATTGCTGATTATCTTACATTCTTTATGACATTTCAGAATACAGTACCTGAACGCCCAACTCATCCACGTGGAAGCCAAGGAAACATAAGGTTCATGTTCGTGTTCATGTGCAACTGAACACCAGTTTTGTTCTAGGAGACAGCGATTCATAGAATGATATACTGTATAGCAATTTGAGGGTGGGCTCATCCCTTGTGCTAAGCCAACAGCTTTAAAGTCAAGGTTTGTTGAATTCATCAAAATTGATTAAGCCTGTGCAACATGTTAGCCATAAAACATAGTTTAGAAACCAGTGCCTAGGTTCATGCAATCACACTAAGCCCAAACTTACAAACTATAGTCTGTATTTAACATGGGGGGGGAGGGCTGAAAAAGACTGGAGTGAGAGCCAAACCAGATTCAGATTCCCCTCTGAGGATAAATTATTGACGCAGTGTCTGCAAGGTAGGACTTGACTGTTCTCCGCATCCGTCCTTCAAACTTGCAGCAAGGTTGAAGCAGCTTCCCCAGTCTCTCTGCTCTTCAAACATGCTAGACTAAATTCTTATTGCTATCAATAGCAGAGCCTTATGGTCAAGGGTACTCCAGTGCACCTGGATGGAACATGGTTGAGGAAAGCTGATTTGTCATGGCAGCAGGCTAACTGCAATGCATTCATAGGCCAGCTGCTAACTGCATCAAGCCAACCTTGCTTGACCTTGAAAAAGCTAAGCAAGGTCAGACCTGGTTAATACATGAGTGGGAAGCTAGCAGGAAGTCCTCCTGTGTCAACTAAATTAGGAATTTGGGGGAGGGGGAAATGTGGAAGGGAAGAGCAAGCCCCTTTCTTACTGTTGCCAAGAAAACTACAGTATATGGATATCTCCATGAAGACAAAAATCAGGAGGAGGCTGATAGCATCTTTTCTGACGGACCAATTTGATTAAAAGGAATAAGCTGTTGTGAGTTATAACTCATTTCATCAAATGCACAGAGTCTATGTATTTAAGTTCATTGCAGCTCACAAAAGCTTATGCCTTTTTATTGATCAGTTCATCTTCTGAGTTTTGGCTACCATGGACTAAAATGGCTCTCCTACGATGCTTATGAAGTCAC